AAACCTTGTTGCAGCACTAAAGCAGAAAAATTAGATTTTGCAATAAATATGCTAAATATTTACACATGAATTGTTTTAGAGCCCTTTTATTGGCAGAATCTGATATTAATTTAGTTCTTACAAAAAAATGGGTCCCAGCATGGTTTGTGTGGCGTTGCCATAGTGTGACGTCATAGGCACAGATCCCCTGTCCTCTTGTTTGGAAATGGAAATATAGTCACCCTATTAAACAAACTGTCCACCCGGGCTTTTGTGCTGCACAGAGACGCTTCGCTGCCTATGACTTTGAACGTCAGTTGAGAGTCAGTCTCATGCAGACTGACCATTGAAGAGAGGGCCTCAAGTTAAGACCCTCTCCTCATTGGTCAGTCCACACAAGATGGGTCAAAGGTTATCCTGAGCGGGTTACGTGATGTCAGGCATTCAAGCATTGAGTATATTTACTGCATATTACAGAAAAATATTCTGTATGTGACCATATTATGGTGATCCTTGGGTCGTGATGATGGGGCCCTTGAATATTGTTGCCCAGGGTACAACGAAGTCTTAATCTGGCCCTGTTATTAGGTTTAGTTTACTGTCATGACAAATATTAGGGGGTACATTTTTTTACCTTGTCCATTTAGATGTAATTAAAACTTGACATTATGAATCCTAATGGCAGCGTCTTTTTGACTGACAGGTAGCAGAGGAGCTATCAGCGCTAGCAGATAGCCTACTGCTTGCTCCAGGAAAGGCCTCAGCCAAGTGTTACAGGCTAGAAGGCGGATGGTTGAAGAGTTGTTGAATCACATATTTCTGGCTGAAAGTGCCCACCAAATTCTGTTAGCTTTGATTAGCTCAGTTAGCTCGTAGCTACATTGGCTCAGAGTTAGTTGTGTGTCTGCCCCCACCCCCTCACAGCCCTGTCATGAGTCGGGGTGAGTACTCCCGTCGCACTCCATCTTTGAGTTGTTTTTCAGGAGAGGGAGGCTCCCAGCTGCGTCACGTTAGCAATCAACGGCACTGGCTTCTTAAGGAGTTGGAGAACACACCTCAACGCGGGATGATTATTACTACCCGGTAGATTCCAGCCTCCTAGTGCATTGTGTTTTCTTGAACCTCTGGTGATTCCTCTGGATTTATTTATTTTTTGTGTTTTTATGCTCACACCTGCTTCAGGATTTTTGGAAAGTCTCTGTTGAAGGAACTCCTCTGGATTCTCTAAACTCATCAGGATCCTCACCGCCTCTACATAACCTTCTGGACACAGCTCCCCAGTGTTCTCCATCTCTCCAGTCGCTCCACTCACCTGCTTCCCCCACGCTCCCTCTCTTGGATATACTCCCCTCGACTCACCCAACTCTCGACCTGCCCCTCCCCATCCCTCCTCAGCTCTTTTGCCCAGTAAGTCTTTTCTCTGCACCTCCCTCAGTTAAGACTTACTTCTCAGGACTCACCTTATTTCTGCCCTCCCCTCCTCAGACGCTGCAGTGCGTGCGGATTTTTCTCCATCCACTGGAAGTTCCAGTGTGCTTTTTCTTCCCGTTTTAAAATAAACTCCTTATTTTGATTAAATTACCTGTGAGTGTGTTGATTCAGCATGTCCTGGGTTAAACTCCTTCCCCAGACCATGTCAAGCCCCACTCTCGGCTCCGTCTTTGTGTGTCCTAGGACTGAAGAGATGCGTGATGCTGCCTAAATGGCAGTGGTGGGAACTACCAACTGGACTTCTACTTGTCTCTTCAGATACCTACAGATGACGTTACAGAGGCTCAATCTAAATTATGTATTCAGTCAGTGGTTCACTGTGTACTTCAGAAACCACCAGTGAACTATCAGCAGCAGATGGAGCTCATTGTGCAACAGTGTATGGGGTCCTCATTTTAAAGTTTGCTCACGCAAAAACTGGATATGAAACAATGTGCAAGTCATTTTCTACACAAACTTTGTGATATATTAAATAACTTAATGGGAAAATGTGTGCAACTTTAAAAAAGGGAAATAAAACCATGTCTCTTTTCATTCTACTTTGAACATTGTGGTAGTAAACACTTACTTCTCTTTACATTCAAACCGCACAATGCTGCAAAACAGTCATCTATTTGGCATTCTGAGATATGTATCTTAAAACAATGATAAAATAAAAATAAGATTCAGACTACATTTAGATCTTTAGTGTCTGGATGCCTGAATTTGCCTTTCTGTGTCCACCTTGCTAAAAAATGACTGTATTTCCACCAATTCAAGTGCAATTTATCTTAAATTAACTCAAGACATCATGGTGTGCTGCATGAGAATGACAGTGATGAAAACAACTCAGAATAAACGTCGTTGTCGTCTTCCTCTGCTTATCCGGGTCCGGGTCGCGGGGACAGCATCCCAACTAGGGAGCTCCAGACTGTCCTCTCCCCGGCCACCTCCACCAGCTCCTCCGGCAGGGCCCCAAGGCGTTCCCGGATCAGATTGGAGATGTAACCTCTCCAACGTGTCCTGGGTCGACCCGGAGGCCTCCTGCCGGCAGGACATGCCCGAAACACCTCCCCAGGGAGGCGCCCAGGAGGCATCCTGACCAGATGCCCAAACCACCTCAACTGGCTCCTTTCGATCCGGAGGAGCAGCGGTTCTACTCCGAGTCCCTCCCGAATGTCCGAGCTCCTCACCCTATCTCTAAGGCTGAGCCCGGCCACCCTACGGAGGAAACTCATTTCGGCCGCTTGTATCCGCGATCTCGTTCTTTTGGTCATTACCCAAAGCTCATGACCATAGGTGAGGATTGGGACGTAGATCGACCGGTAAATCGAGAGCCTGGCTTTCTGGCTCAGCTCCCTCTTCACCATAACAGATCGGCTCAGCGTCCGCATCACTGCAGACGCCGAACCAATCCGCCTGTCGATCTCCCGATCCCTCCTACCCTCACTCGTGAACAAGACCCCGAGATACTTAAACTCCTCCACTTGAGGTAGGACCTCTCTCCGACCCAGAGTTGGCAAGCCACCCTTTTCCGGTCGAGAACCATGGTCTCAGATTTGGAGGTGCTGATCCTCATCCCAGCCGCTTCAAACTCGGCCGCAAACCTACCCAGCAAGAGTTGAAGGTCAGAGCTGGATGAAGCCAGGAGGACCACATCATCCGCAAAAAGCAGAGACGAGATTCTCCTGCCACCAAACTCGACACACTCCACACCACGGCTGCGCCTAGAAATTCTGTCCATAAAGGTAATGAACAGAACCGGTGACAAAGGGCAGCCCTGGCGGAGTCCAACCCTCACCGGGAACGGGTCCAAATTACTACCGGCTATGCGGACCAAACTCACGCTCCTCTGGTAAAGGGATTGAATGGCCCTTAACAGAAAGCCACCCACCTCATATTCCTGGAGCGTCCCCCACATGGTGCCCCTGGGGACACGTCCATAAGCCTTCTCCAAATCCACAAAACACATGTGGATTGGTTGGGCAAACTCCCATGCCCCCTCCATCACCCTTGCAAGGGTATAGAGCTGGTCCACAGTTCCACGGCCAGGATGAAAACCACATTGCTCCTCCTCTATCTGAGATTCAACTATCGATCGGACCCTCCTCTCCAGTACCTTGGAGTAGACCTTTCCAGGGAGGCTGAGGAGTGTGATCCCCCTATAGTTGGAACACAACCTCAGGTCACCCTTCTTAAAGATGGGGACCACCACCCCGGTCTGCCACTCCACAGGAACTGCCCCCGATGACCACGCAATGTTGCAGAGACGTGTCAACCACAACAGCCCTACAACATCCATAGCCTTGAGATACCCAGGATGAATCTCATCCACCCCCGGGGCTCCGCCGCTGTGTTGTTGTTTGACTACCTCAGCAACTTCTGCCCCCGAGATTGGACAGTCCATCCCCAGGTCTCCCGGCTCTGGTTCCTCCTCGGAATGCGCGTAGGTAGGATTGAGGAGCTCCTCAAAGTATTCCTTCCACCGTCCGACTATAGCCCCAACTGACGTCAGCAGCTCCCCAGAATAAAGTTACAGTAAAACCAACGTTTGAGTCTTTCGTGCAGGTCATGGATTTCTGCAACAAGAGTCCAAAACATTTCCAACTCCATTCTTATAACTAACTGCAGCGTTGGCTTGGAGCAGACTCGGCAATCTCACAGGTTCACTGATTGTAAACAGTTACTACATCCCTTTTTGACCATTTTAAGGGGGAAAAAGGGACAACCACCCCAGCCGTCTGAGGAGGAAATCTGCTTCAATGTAACCTTCCTTCCAACATTATTGAGAAATTTAACTGTTGAGTGATTATTTCAATGTAAAATTTTTACATGTTGGTCCTTTTACAAAAATCTATATTGAATTAAACGAAACAAAAATAAGCAATTTGATTTTATTTAATTTAGTTGCAATCTTTGATTTCCATACAACAGCAAACAAAGTACAAACTATCATTTCCTGAATTACAGGAAGTCTTTTTTTTAATAAAACCATACACATTCACATGCTTATGTACAGAAATTTTACTGATTTAAATTTTCACACATTTAGCTCAACAAAAAAAATGTATCAGTGACAATAACACTACCCTGATATATATTTTTTTAGTTTTTCTGCATTAATCTTTAAAGATCTATTTGGTTTAAGGAATTCAAATTATTCAACACAACAAAAATACAAATGCATAATAAATGTTACTGACTTTGACTTGATTAGTTTGGGTTTTGGAATATTATTTATTTATTCATTTTGTGTTGTTGCTCTGACTCACTACGTCCCAGAAAGTGAGTCTGTAGATATGCAGCGGTGCCTAATCAGTGCTGCAAACATTCATCTAATGTTTTCCAGATGTTGAATTTGACAGTGTGCTTTAAACTGTGTGTTGTTATCTGACATGGTTAGGTTGGCATTTCTGAGATTTAAAAGGGAACATGAAGTAAGAATGTCATCCTGTGGTCAAATTCTCCATTCTGGTTGCAACTTTAAAAATGAGGTTTAAAGAATAAAACATTTTAAAGAGCAAGTAACGTCTAAATTAACTTTTTTTTGCTGATGAACTGTATAAATGAGTGTCTAATAGTGTTTTAAATGTGTGTATTCATTATTTTAGCATTTTGGTGCATTTTCTTTAAAAATTAATTTTTCAGCCTAAAAACCACAGTCACTTAAATAATGAACTATCTGACCTCATTCTGTGGCATAAACAATCTTTTGTTAATTATATTTCCCTCCCCTGGTCTCTAAAGCAAAACAAAGATATGGCATTGAACAATAGAAGTGTGTATCAAAAAGAGGGAGCTGTCAGTCAACGAGAATGCGCCCCAGGTCCTAGCATGCACTGCGGGGTGACACGCAATCACCTTAGCAAACTGACCTAGCTTTAATGCTAACTCAACCTGGACTGAATTCATGTCCGTCTGTAAACTTTAAGCTAACTGTGGAAAAGGAATAACTATACATTGGACTATAGTCTTAGCCTGTTTTAGCATTAGCAGGGATGTGCTAGCATCACGAGTGCCAGATTTCTGCACATTTTAGATGTTTCCCAGCTTGAACACTGCAGATTGTATTTAAAGCTACTAGCCAGAGGTACATTTTCTTTGAATGGCATATCTAAAAAGTATTAAAACACAAGTTTTTTAAAGACCGCAGTAAAAAAGAATAAGTTAGCCTGTGGTCTTGGCGCAACACTGATGCTTATGTCATACCGGGGGATTCCCTAACAAAGCTATTGTAAACAAAATGTATCTGCTGTTTCTTCAGCATTAGCACAATGGCAGATGACAGTGTTTCATCAGAGTCAGATGTAGCATCTGAAACCTTTGCTAGTCATACAAGAACGAATATCAGTGTTATGGCCGTCGTCTGTGTTTGGGGACACCACCTGCGTTATTCTGCTTGCAGCTCTGCGCCGAGTTTAGCACCATCAGCAGTTCCCACTTGATGTGCCCCATGCAGATCAGCACCTAGGAAAGTGTCGCTAGCTGCACTAGATTAGCCTCATTATGACTAAACAGGCAGCACCTATAAAAGGCACAAGAAGACTTGTGCTCAGGGGAGAATATTCTCCTCTACTTGACGACGCCACACTATGGACCCCAGCTTTAAATGCATCTCTGACTCATTATTATGGCTCCTTATTTCTGGTTGAGTTGCAGAGTTAAATTTTTTTGTTTTTTATTAATGATTTTGTTTTTCAAAGCTGTGGGAGGAGATTTAAAAAGCCAAATAATAACAATTGTGTTTCTGTCTTCGTGTGCTGACACCTTTGAATGAAAACATTTGCTATATTGTCTGATTGATGGTTTGCACTTGCTTTCACCAGTGTCCTTCCCTCCTCCTTCTAAACAGTTCAATAACAGCCTCATCACGACAGAAGGCAGACCTGAACATGTGTAAATGAAACATGTTGGGACTTGTGGTTCAGGTCCATTTCTTGTTCATCGTGATCAGAATTTAAAATAAATAATCACAACAGGATGGAAAAAAACACCAAAGCTCTTCTTGTGACAGACAGTAGAAGTCAGGCTGGTTGCATTCAGATTTTTGTACAATTTGTGCAAACAGAGACAGAGGTATTAGGAATGATTTGGTGAAAAAAAGTCCTTCTGTAAATATCCAAAATGGTCACAGTGTAATCAAGACAGTCAGATTTCCATCTGATTTGTCTTCTATCAGAGGAGCCAAAACACAATAACAAAGAAACTTTGGAACAGCAAAGATGAGGCGAAAGATGACTGCAAACTGGGATTTTAGTAAAATGACTTTAAGGTATGGCGGAGGATGTTTCTGACTTTCTGGAAATAACTGCCCTCTCGACGTTTAAAAAAAGTGTGCATGAGAGAGAACGCTCCGTTATCCTTGTGCTCACACTGTTTACAAATAGCTTCTGGCCTTGCAGCTAACTTCTTCTAGCAGTAATCTGAAACTGATTTCTCCAAATAGCATGCCGAACTTTAGCTTACCTGTCGAGCAGAAAACTAGCAACTGAGGCGTCTGTGGGGAGCCCAACCTTCGTTGAAAAGAGTCTCCTAAAAACACTTCAGGCACTTTTCCCTTCCGACTGCCATTTTCAAAGAAACCCATATTGCGTATTGCTCTACACATAAACAGAATGCACATGCACAGGAAGTGAAAACGAGTCCAGGAAGGAGCCCGTACGACGTCGGCCTTGCGTGAAAGCTTCACCAGAATGATTGACAGCTATGTGGAGCAAAGGTTCAGATGATCCACTCGGAAGAACACGATCCTCTGCTATACCTTTAAACAGGTGTCATTTTACGACACTAAGTAATAAATGACATTGTAAAACCCTCCCTGCACATTCTCAGGAGGACACAAGAATTTACATATGAATGCTGAAAATTCACAAAAATGTGTCATTTACGGCTCAGCAGTCTGGTTTGTGCAAAATTGAATTAAAGCCTCTCTAAAAGAAGACCGATGTGCTTCAAGTAGACAAACAATAAAAAGGTTCAAACAACGAAATGTAAGCTAAGTCCACTAAAGAAGCTCAATTTTTTGAGGAACTTGGAAACAATCACAAAGCTTTTAAATTGAAAATCTTCTCAATGGACTCCATTTAGATTTTTTTTCTGCAGATATGCAATTTGTGACAAAAGGAAATGACAGTGGCAAATGCAGAGTGAAAAAAGCTCATAAAGACAATGAGGCTGTCATTTTATGAGCTTTTAAAGAAAAGCTGTCACAGAATTTGCTTTTTAAAGTCTTCAGGAAAGCTTTTATCTCTCACCCTGCAGCGCTGGACCAGCCAAACGCCTCTTCTTCTCATGTTTACTACTTCTTTTAGAATATTTTCCAAAATGAATCCAGGTTATCTCTCAGTCACGATGGGCTCCACTGAGAGGATATCAGTCCTCCCAGTGAGGGCCTGTCTGGCCGTGAAGAGCACATGTGCATCTTTCATGTTGTGTGATTGACTGGACGAAGCGTGGCTCTGCTGCAGCGAGTCCTGACTCAGCTGCGGCAGGGCGTTGCTCGGCCTCGAGGACTCATTGTTGTCAGGCCAGGCGGCTCGGTGGCAGGGAGCACACGCGACTGCTGGGCGATGCTCCGGCGCCGACACCACCGCCGCTCTCCGCCTCCACTGGCACCTGTCGAGGAGGAGGCGCAGCTCCTGGCGGAAGGTGGGGTTCAGGCAGCAGTAAATGAAAGGGTTGTAGCAGGTGGAGCTCATGGCGAGCCAGTGAAAGCAGAAGTACAGAGCGTTGGAGGACTGGATGGCCTGGCTGGAGAGCAGCACCACGTAGCAGTTGAGGGGAAACCAGCAGACGGCGAACACCCCCACAACCAGGAGCAGCATGGCCAGCGTGCGGCGGCGCTTCTTTCTCCGGGTGGCGTGTTGGGCTGTCGTCGTGTCGCCAATGGCGTTGTGGCGCCACAGCCGACGGGCCATTGTGGTGTAGGAGGCAGTGATGATGAGCAGCGGCAGCATGTAAAGCAATATGAAGGTCAGGAGGTCAATGTACTGCCAGTAGACGTCTGATGGCTCTGGGAAGTCTGGCACACACAGGCTTCGCTCTTTTTCCTTACTGGAGACGGAATGTGGAAAAAAATGGCAGAGATGGAAAAAGTAAATTAGACCAGTCACAGTTCAATTGTGATAAAATCAGTAGTTTAAAACAGAATTCCAGAGTATTCCTCCTCTTAGGAATCATTATCTATTTCCCCTGATGCCAGAATTCAGACTTTGTGTGTTTTTCATGTTCTGTAAATGTCAAAAACTTAAAATAATTAAAGAACCAGACTTCACAGAACTCAGAGCTGATAAGAAAAAAGCGAGAGACAAAGAAAGAGGCTAGATTGTAATAAAACTTTTTCAGATGTCAGAAAAAAATCTATAAATCACAATAACAACATTTCTGTTATGTTTTATGACTCCCAACCTGACTCCCCAACACAAATAACTCATTCATCACTGATTAAATGTGCTGCTTGTGTTTATCAGATATTTACCTTTTCATCCAGGATTTAAAATTAATTTAGTTTCTTGATAATTTCTCAAAGCAAAGTATTGAATTATTAACTCATTCACTGCCATTGACGACTAATGTCATCATTTTAAATCCAACCGTTCACTGCCAATTCATTTGCATTTTTTACTGTGTGGGCATCAGAACGAGCCCCCGCACCGTGAGAACAAACCTCTCAGCTCTAAAGCCGATCTTCATCCGCATAAGTCACACGTCATGTGACCAGGAAGCAGAAAATCCATGTATTAGGAGATCGTTTTGATCCGCTGCTGTAAAAAAAGTGAGGCTCGAACCGGAAAAGCTTCTGCCGATCACAATTCAACAACGGATTATGAAAGAACGGATAACGCTCTAAACACGCGGATTCTTCCTGATGTAAGACGTGAGTCTCCGCTTTGTTTTGGTTGTTTTGGTGTTGAAATCATCCTAGCGTGCAACGTTCTGTGACTCTTAAATAAAAAGTAAAATTGGTGAGAAACACTGGCGGCGAATGAGTTAAGAAAATGGGAATAAATGGATGATTTTTTTACATTCTGCAACAAAATATCTAAAGTAGGATTTATAACACAAGTAGTCATTGCAACAAGGCTCATGAAAAAGACTAACGCATAGCGAAGAGGAGATTTTAATTTTGGTCTCACTAATGGACACTAGGGGGTGCTGAAGGCAAGCCAAAACTGCATAGTATCCCTTTATATATATATATATATATATATATATATATATATATATATATATATATATATATATATATATATATATATATATATATATATATATATATAATGTTTGTAACACCACCTTCAGTTGAACACATGATGGAAACATTGTTGCCATTGTGAAGAAGCAGAAAGAAAACTCAGTGTCTAACAGTCTCTTTCTGTGACCACGTAATGGTCTTTATAGATGTATGGTTGGAGAAAAAGTATTTGTGAGAATAGTGATGGATAAACACAGAAGCAGGTCATCTTTTCAGCTCAGTCACAGCTAGAAAGGTGCAACTACTGCACAGCTCCCGGGTCTGTCATCAAAACACATCAGCCACATTTTCTTCTTCTTAAAAAAACAGAATAAAATCTATAAAACAAACATCAAGATTCCACACAGATTTGGAGCTGGTACCAAACAGAATGAATATGAGTCATTTTTCCACCTACAAAGCCAGAATTTGACTGGTTTCTTCTAATGTTGGATTCCATCATGAAAAATGCAGCAGAAATTGATTTAATATCTATTTAAATTTATAAGAATAGGTAAGAAAACAGCTGACAGTTGTTAGATTTTATCGCCTAAAGCTATAGTTCTGTATTTTTAATGCTTGAAATGACCAGAATGATGAAACTGACATTTGTTACAATACAGCATTCTTCCCAAAACACCAAACACAAAGTATTTCTAATAAAACACCCAAACATGTGTGTAAATGGAACAATTAGTTCTCCTGTCCACCAATTAAAACTCACAGTCATTTTTCTTTAGATTTCTGCGCAATAAGCAATATTTTCGCTCCATTTAATTTGAACTTGTTTAGGCTGGTGGTTGACTGAGCTGCAGTTTGCCTACACGACATTGCAGTGAAGCATTTTCATCTAGATTAAAACCAAATGTAGTTAAATTGAAAGTGTTTCAATGATTTGCATCATGATTAGCTGTGATGAAAGGCAGTATCACCCATTGTTCTGCCAAGTTACAGAAAAGGGAAAAAAAAGTTCTAGTGAACAGCCTGAAATGTGCAGGTTTGAGTAGATTCTTGTGAAAAATATCACATAGAGGAGAAAAAAAGCTGCCTGTGAGTTCCGGTAAAAATGGCTGCCAAAAAGAGAAGGTGGCTGCTGATAAAAAGCAGTTATTACACAGCAGAACACTGTGGTACAAACTTCACAAAAGGTTGTGTTTTTTATTTATTTATTGTACAAAAAAACATAGTTTGTTGAAATTAAATAGAAATGTATCCACATCTTTATTTATATTCAGAATCAGTGTAAATGGATATGAGCAATAAAACTAAAGGAAGGAGATGTAAATTACGGGTCCTGAAGACTGACAGGGTTTATAAAAGCATTCTCCTTCAACATTATTTGGCTTATTTATTTATTTATTTATTTTTTCCCAAGAAAAGTCCTCAAAGGTGTGGGACACTGAAAAAAATTATAATCCGGAATTTTATTTCTGTCTATAATCAGTCTATAATTCTGTCTACAATCAGTCACTCTGAGTTTTTCATGCAGGCTGAACATGAAACTAGTCTCCTACACCTATCTCCTGCATTAGCTTCTGATAGAAAATAGATGGTGAAACTCTAGGATTACAAAATCCTGACCGATCTACGTCACACTGTCACCTAACATTCATGGACTCATCCATCTTGACTCATGACAGGGAAGGCTGTTGTTAGTTTAGCGTCTAGAAAACAGCTGAGAACGTCTCTGTTAGTAGAAGCTATCCGTTAGCATTAGCAACTCCACCACACAGCAGAACTCCTTCAGGCTTGTGTTATTTGTGGAGATAAAACATCAACGTTGCATAGCAAACAGATCAATGGAAGAGTTGCATTGCTGTTAGCCAATCACAATAGAGGAGTCCAAATACTTGTACTTCCTGATTCTGCCACATCTAAGCCCCCCCCCCCCCCCCCCCCCCCCGGTTGTCACACAGATGTGTTCATGTCACACTGTGAGAACTCCAGAAAGGTGGCACACTGCACGATGCAAGATTTCTGTGACATCTCGCTCCAGGTGGACATGCTACGTCATGAGCGCACCTCCCAAAAGCATGTCACTAAGCCGACTGCTAGCCAAAAGAAAGCTGAAAAGATAAACAAGCTCTGCCATTAACACTTCTTTTTAGAGTCAGCTCATCTTCCTCAAAGAGGAAGAATGGTTTTCAAAACCTTTGCTTTGGCCTCAGACTCCTGCTGCAGGTCTCCTGAGCTCCTGAACTGAGCTGTCAGCTGGACATTCCTCCTTCTCTTTCTTTATACATAAAAAAACACTAAACTACATCTCCTCTCACAGATCACATAATCACAGTTTTCACAAATCAGATGATGGTCTAAAACAGTAGTTTAATTATTTTAATATAACTACAGTTTCATTTGGGCTATTAACAAAAATAAAAACTGGTGTGTTGTTTACATCGACATATAAATATTGGACAATGAGTTTCCAAAGGCTCCAATAACACATTTTTGAAGAAAAATGGGAGGTGGCCACCACCGCCATTTTGACCGTGTCACAGGTTCCGTCAAGCCCAGACAATTCCACAAAAGGGAAGAGAGGTGGAGCTGAGGGTGAGGCTGTAAGGCTGGGATCAACTGACGACACCCGGTCAAACTAGCTACAAGCTAACCTGAAGCTAACCCAAAGCTAACGCGGAGGTGGGAGCTAAGCTAATGGAAGTAGCAACCTAGCTACAACCGGAGTTAACTGTGCACAACACCAGAGCTTCTGAGTCAGAGATACGCCGGGCTGACCCGGTTAAACAGTACATGTTAAAATCTAAGCTCAGCTCGGCAGTGACCTAAAATACATAAATATAATTTTACTTACAGAAAAAAATGAAGTGGAGACTCCTTGGACTCTATTAGTGCAATTAATGCCACAGCAAGTCATTTTGTGCAACAATTGCACAAAAAATATTGAAAAAAGAATACACAAACGCAGACGCTCAAAATCCCGGAACAGTTTCCAAGCCAGACCGAGGCTCTACTGAGGCCTTTCCACGGAGCTAGCTCTGTGGTCACGTGGGTCTGATGCTCATTAATTGTACAGAATTTTAGGCTTTTAATACACTTAAACAGAAGAGTGAGAAAAAAATTCACCCCCCTCAGAGTTGTCATGAGTGTAAACTAGATCATTTTTATCCAAAAACATGTTTTGGTACCAGGCTGTAAACATGTTTATTTCTGCTGTGAAATTGGTATTTTTAACATGGGAGTCAATGAGGATTTGCTCGCTTCTGACACCAGCCCCCAGCGGATGAGGGTGGAACTGCAATTTTTGTCACTTCCGCATTGGCCTCAATTTTTCACCTGCATTGTGGGGGCTTGGTTGTTTATAATCCGGATTTTAAACATAAATTGAAACCGATGCTCAGAGAGGAGGAGTCTTGCTGCTGCGGTGTCCCAAAGGTGTGTTTACATTGGTCGATTCCAGACAGGAGTCTTAGGTTTAGGGTTAAGACTGTTTGCGGCTGAGTTTGGTCATGTTTATCGCTCAAAAAGGTGTTGCAGAGCCGGTCCCACTACGCTCACAGACATACAGGTTCACCGTATTTTGTCACAATTCTGCTTCAAACTGACTGTGATTTAAAATATTCTGACAAAGATATTCTCAAAATGTTGTTGAAGCTCCACTGATCACGTTTTACAACAAAAAGAAATAAATGAATAACTCCTAACCTGCAAATCCAGAATCATGCAATTTTAAGTTTTGATTTAATTTTGTCTCTGCAGCTTCATTACCTCTCCTGGAAAACTCGATGTTTTCACATCATTTCATCATGGCAGTGTTTCAACACTATTTAAAAAAAACTAATCCCAGAAAAGTAAGACTATGTTTAAATTCAAGCTTTCAACTCAAGCTTGACTCTGGTCCCTTGGGACAGAAAGCCTATGTCTGTTTTTGAGCTCATTATGCATGAGAGTGTGCAGACGGATTCACCTGTAGGAGAAAGTCAGGAGTTTTTGGTAGATGGCGTGTGGGAGGGAAAAGCAGCTGGCCATTACCCAGATGACAGCCACCCAAACACCACCCTGTGCTGGAGTCATGCGTGGTCTTAGAGGATGTAAAATAACCTGGAAAAATAAAAACAACACAAACTAATCAGGGACTAGAGTTCACAGCAAACCCACACAGGCTGCACCAAGATAACAGATCTTTGTGTTTTTCTGAGGGAGTAAAATCACCCAGGCCAATTTGTGGAGCAGAGGAAACCAACTAGAGGGAAAAGAGCAAATCCGGTCTTTATGTCGTTGCTAATTAACCTGCAGCTCTATGTTATATCAGAGGAAGCCTTTAGCTGGGTTCACAACATAATTAAATGTCAGTTTGTTTGCTGTAGATATGAGTTCTTTTTACAGATGACCAGAGAGGATTAAAAGAAGACAAATTGCACCAAGAATACTCGACAGGCAGCAACCAAACAGGAAGAAAAGATGCATTCTGCTTCTTTCTAAGCTGCAAGATAAGGAATTAAATCCAGTTATGGGCACAGCTGAAGGCTGTTGTTGAAACAGTTGTTTGGATGCTGTTTTTCTTTTCTTTATTTTTCTGAACTGACCTTGTGAATCTTGTGATTGCAACACAAATATGCTAGTTCTGTTTTTGTATCTATAAACTTAAAAACTTCCTTGTTTTGTTTTTTATTTAAAACTTTATCCATAGATGCCTTCAATGCCTCCCAACCACAAATAGATTGTTTATTTACTCCATGCTCCTGTTAAGAGCCTCGCTGCAGAGTTCTGGACCATCTGAAGGTGGTCAGGGGCTTTTATGTTAAAACATATGAAAAGTGTGCTACACTAATCTAGATGAGAGGAGATAAAGGCATGGATAACTATTTCAAGTTCATGTTTTGACACCAATCTTCGCAATTTGGAGATATTTCTGAAGTGATAAAAACAGTTTCGGACCGATGTTTTTGAGTGGCCTTGAAGAGACCTTGATTGGTCACAAATAAAACCCAATTTCCTCAAGTTGACTTGATGGCAGAAGTTAAATGTCCAGATTGTTGACTAATTATAGGAACCAGTGGCAATAATAAGACTTTCAACTTAAACTGAAGGAAGTTATCATCTAGCTAGAAAGCTAACAGACACTTTAGGAGTTCAGATATTTTATTAAACTCAGAATCCTTAAAGGAGCAGTACAGCTGAATGTCATCTGCATAGAGGTGATAAGAGACATTATGAAAAGAATCAATTGTCTGTCCAATAGGAGGTATATATAGTAGAAAAAAGGGTGAACCCAGACCAGAGCCTTGGGGTACCCCACAGAACAGATCAGTGGAATCTGACATGATTTGGTTTATTCTGTTAGAATGGTATGATCTGAAGAGTTCCAGAGGTCCCCCACAGAGTCACAGATAATGTTAATTAAGGTGATTTGATCAACAGCGTCAAAAGCTGCAGAAAGATCCAACAATACTAAGACTGTGAATTTCCCTTTGTCTGCAGCCATAATGATGTCTCTGGAAACATTCAGCAAAGCTGTATCTGTTGAATGTTTTTTTTTAATGATAACAAGATTGGAATTTGTCGAAACTTTTGTGTAGTTCTAAAAAAGTAAGCATAAGAGAATGTTATGTAAAAAATATCACAGCTTAATGTCATGGAATATTTTTCATTATTCTTCTAAAATGTGCTTATCAATATAAAATTGTATTAAAGAGGGAATTTTCCCCCAATAATGCAAATTATCATTGGGGTGAAAGTCTTAGGGTGTTTCTCAATGTCAAGGCGCCTGGCCTTGCGAGGCAATGTCTTGCGAGGCCAGGCGCCTTGCTTATGAGGACACTGTCCTTCCTTGGTCAAAGAAAATGGTTAAATGGAGCATACTTGCATCACGTGACCGCAGCTTCCACGGCGGTCACCTAACGTCACAGGACACGGGAGATAACGTTATATTTTATACATATTAGTTTCAATATAAATATATAACGAGACTTTTACTTTTTAAATTGTGTATATGTTTATTAAATAAATAATATAAGTGAGTTACTACCCGCTAGCCACCGAAGCTGTAACTACTAAGCAACTAACCAACAATAGATAACTTCTTTGGATCAAAATAAAACATTTTAAATTAGTTGACTTACTTTTAAACTTGAAAATTGTCCCTGAAGTAGCTGCCAGCTTCTGATCCTTTTGAAAATACTGCAGTGTGTTCTGGGTAATTTGTGACCAAGGCTAGGCTAAGACACCTCCCGTGTATCCTCGCTCAGCTAGCTGAACGGCTAACAAACGGAGAACACACGCCTCGGTAGAACATGAACAGTGAAACATGTCTTGGCAGCTCCCGATGACGTATCTCCTAGGCAACTGGGGCGGGGCCAAGACACCAAGGCAAGGTTCCTTGGCATTGAGAAACACCCTTAGTCTGTCAATCAAGACAAGCAGGTCGAAGCAAGTTTGTGATTGGCTGATCATTCAATCAGACATAAGCAATCACACACAGAGGATCGAAATAGGCCTGAAGGTACAAAACATATTCATGTGCACAAATAAACTAATTCGCGTCTGGCGAGCTGATAAAACTGAATGGTGTTTAAAGATTGGCCAATGGTGTTGGAGGTAGAAATAAATATGTACTACTGCATATATTTTGGAATATAATAGAAACTCTAAAACTTTATTATAAACCATCACTATCAAAGAAAGGGAATTTATAGAGTTTTTCTTCAATATTATAACTTTTGTGAGTTTTGTATGATTTTGTATTTGAAGTTTCTCACTACCACACATAGCTCCTTGTAGTTCTCTGAGCACCTCAACAAGAACAAAAACGTAATAATGAGCATAGCTAAACTTAAGGACTACAAACATAAACTGAGGGGTGTGTAAAAAACAGGAAGATTGACAGATTCACCAACAAACTGAACCCGAGCAAGAGGAAACAAGGGAAGACTGAAAAGGAGAACAAAAGAAATAAAACAAGAGTAGATGAAGCAAACAAAGTGCAAATCAACTAAAACCATAAAAAAGAAAATATGGAAACTAAATCAAACAAAAGACCATGTCAATAGGCTTTGTGTTTCTTAGCAGCAAAAGCACTTTGTGTCATAATTTGCCAGAAACATCTTTTTTAAACAGCACACTGTTGTGTAAAATTCCCCAAATGTTCGGTCTTTCTGCATCAGAGGAATCTGGAAGATCAGTGCCTGGTATCAGTGGCCTTTGCTTGGTGTAAAAGCCTCATAAGGCCTGTCTGGAGTCTAAATCTGTCTCATATTGAAAACGTTTGGTGCATCATAAGACGGAGGGTTAGATGAGGATAACCACAGCCTGCAAAAATCTGCATTTTAGTGTGAAACAGTCACAGATCATTCTAGTGTTGTTCTTTGTTCCTGTGTTGCTTTCATAAGGGTGTTCAAGGCTGGTCCTTCAGAGCGATACAGATGTTAGAGTTTCTTCTGCTTCAGCACACCCGAGTTTACTCAATTGATGATTACCAGGCTGAACAGGTCATTCAACCATTGAAACGGGCGTGTTGGAGCAGGGAAACAACTAAAACATGACACACAGGGCCATCAAGTGCCAGGGTTGGACACCACTTGCTTAATATAAGTAGTACAGAACATAGCTGCTGAAAGAAACAGCACGCTGTGGTATGCTGGTCTAGCATGGAGGTCCAGAGATTATGTTTAGCAGCCAAATGAGGAGGATCTGAGTGAAGCGCCATGCTGTTTACTTTTTAGATAGACTACATTTCAGCTTTAAAGTGATTTATTTCCAACTTCTCTGTGAGGAAGAGAATTCTTTATTACTGGCCAAGTAATCACAAACAAAGTAATCACACACACACACATATACTCACTGGCCACTTTATTGGGTACAGGGTACTAGTAACGGGTTGGACCCGCTTTAGTCTTCAGAACTGCCTTAATCCTTTGTGGCATATATTCAACAGGTACTGGAAACATTCCTCAGAGGCTTTGGTCCATATTGACATGACAGCATCACCCAGTTGCTGCAGATTTGTCAGCTGCACATCCATGATGCGAATCTCCCATTCCACCACATTCCAAGAAGCTCCATTGGATTGAGATCTGGTGACTGTGGAGGCCATTTGAGTACAATGAACTTATTGTCATGTTCAATAAACCAGTCTGAGATGTTTCGAGCTTTATGACATGGGGCATTATCCTACTGGAAGTAGCCATCAGAAGATGGGTACACTGTGGTCATTAAGGGATGGACATGGTCAGCAACAATACTCAGGTAAGCTGTGGCGTTGCAGTTGTAGCGTAATCAATGTCCTGTTTATGACCTAAAGGTCATGATCTGCTGTGTCTGCTCGAGCAGAGACATAAAGTCTCTGACAGCCTAATCTATATGAGATAGTGGCCAAGGTCTCTCCTCCACTCTGCTCATCTGAACTGCTTTACCAAGCAAAGACAAGAACTATTCTGAAAAATATATAATCAATAACTTTGTTAATTACCAATAAGAATGTGAGCCCAATGTTCAATCAATCTGTGAAATGACAATGTTAATTACTTGATATTATAATCCTGTGATCAGCAGTATTTTACTTGATATTATAATTGGATATTTGCACTAGACACTAATAACACGTAATGCTAAAGTCACACGACACATTTCCTCTTGTCTCACCCAATCAGAACCTTCGTTTCTGGGGCTAGGCGTGGTTATCTGTGGTGTTTGTATAAACCCCCTTTTTGCATGTCAAATTCTGATTCATAAGTAAACCAAAATATGACAATTATAAAAACTATTCCACGCCACCTTTTCTTTAGTTCAAGCGTTCTAGAGGGGTCTCGGACAGGCCACCCGGACTCCCTCTTCAGCCATAAAGAACCTCAGACAAGCTGGATAAAATCTGTTGCAAGTTACACCTGACCGCAACGGTTCCTAAAGAATAAAAGCTGAACCTCACGACCCCTTCAGGGTGTCGGAGGCGTCAGTGATAACCTGTCGTGACCTGGAAGCATTCCAAGACTAGTTTGGTTGGCACCGCTGCTTTTCTACCAGCTTCGGTTCCAAGGAGGGTCTAAGAGGACCTCGGCATTCGGGATCTGATCGGAGGCTTCCCCTGGGTATGTAGACTGATAGAT